CTCAAGCTCTATCAGATGATGTAAAAAAAAGGCAAAAAAAAAATTTTTACTTGAATTTTGCTCTGCAGGCACCTTATGATGATGGCTTTGTGATCGACTGCAGTTATGGAAGAAGTAAATCGATTGTATATGATTTTGATGAAATAGAGATTAAACTCAAACATTTGATCGAACATTTATGTGACTTTGATGTAACTAAATTTAGATTTCTTAATTATCAACATGAATTGTTCAATGAGGATGCAACATTAATTACTGATATTCGAAATCGAATACCTCAAGAATCATTGACAAATGATGACAGAGCAAAATTACATCTACTATTGGCAAATATGAAACCGGATGCTATTCTCGATCATATTGGATCACTCGATTACATATTTACATATCTGAGAAATTTAATATCTGATGACAATACAATGACAATTCAAGTATTCATTGAAAAATATATTAAACACAACAGGAATATACTTCGACAGCAACAACTATTTTCTGCAATACAAATCAAACATATAATCAGTCTGTACGAGTTAATCGAAGAAATTGTATTCGATAAGATCATGAAAAATTATATAAAACAAGAGTTAGATGAAGTTTCATTTACACAAGAAGAAATTCAACAAGTAATTGAACAGTTTTCTAAAGAAACCTATTTAAATGAAAAAATGTCACAAACAATGCGGGACATCAATATATGGATTACCGTTCTCAAACGTCTTATTATTCGTATATTGATACCAATTGTCGATTTGACCATACCCATTGAAATGTATTTGCAACGAAGTGATCTATGGAATGACAATATAAATGAAAATGATCTAGATAATATGAAAATTGGTTCAAATATCATGTTAAAACATGCCTATGTAATTTTTAAAGGTCTTAATGAAAAAGTCGATAATGGACAAAAAAAGCAAGACGACATGCGGGACAGTAACGCTAGTGAAGAGAACCAAAATCTGAATCAAGTCATATGGCATGAGCGACAGTATGGACGTCAAAATATAACAGTAAACAACACAACAACTGTAGCAATCGATCAAACAAGAAGAAAGAAAGCCAGATAAAATTTAATAAACGAGACTTATAGAAGATACTCTATATGAGGAACAAATCATCAATACAATGAAGACTCTTAAAGAGCATTTAATATTCTCCGTTCGATAACACGGATATTATTACAGTCTGCTCACTTTATTTTGTATTTGTTCATCAAATAAAAACTAATACTGATTTACTTAATCTTGAGGCTTTTCCAAAATAGAAATATTTTCTGGTAGTAATGGTGGGAATTAGATTGAAAATATATATTTAAACTGAGAGAGAAAGCATTGCTGAATACGAGGATGTGAGTGGCACAACCATAATATTAACATTTCAGGGTGTGGGTGTGGGTGTGGGTGTGGGTGTGGGTGTGGGTGTGGGTGTGGGTGTGGGTGGGTGTGTGTGGGTGTGGAAAACAACATCACACCCTACATCCACACCCACCCACACCCACACCCACACCCTAGTTCTGATTTTAGCTGCAGGTTTATTTGGTTAATGTCTGATTTTCTGTTTGGAGCGGATTGATTTTCAGCCGATACTTTAAATGTAAGCTTACTTTAAATATATCGTCTTATTTCTAATGTAGATCTATACCATTTTCCCATTTAGGAGTTAATTTATTTCATTCTGTAAATTGTTCTTTTTGTATTTCAGATTCGAATGAGCTCTTGATTGGGATACTGCTTAATTGGCTTTAATTATTGATTATTTGTTTGCTGTGGATGGGTTCGCAACAATGGTGTGAAAGTAAGTTTATTGATTTTTATTGTTACTTTTCTTTTGAGGAGGGCCTATTGAGATATTTAAGGTATATAATAGTTGTCATTTCATATCTAACCAGGTTGCCCTTGAAAATGATAATTCGATTTTGAGTTGAGCCTCTCTGCATAAGGTAGTTATCGGTGAGATGAGAAAAATTCCCGAAGGATGCCTTGCATTAGCTCTTCTCTAGAAGATTATCCCTATGTTACTAGAATTTTAGTTGAATGCTAACGAAGAATCCTATTTAGATGTGAATTTGATTTTGAGTTCGAGACATTAGTGTCAGACAGATGTGAGACAAGTATGAAAAGCTCTAAATAAACGAGGGCTCATAAGTCTTCTCTCGAAAGTTATAGCTGTTTTCTTTGAATTTGAACCAATAGTGCCGTAGATATCAGTAGGTGGAATGAGATTATTTCAATTTAAGAATTTCTAGACGGAGCAGTCCATTGATGAGGTGAATGTCCCAATAATTTTATCTGAAACAAATGCGCTTTTGTCCGAAATGCTGAAGTTCACAAACAATACAAAATTTCATTATCTTTCGTGAGATACAAGTTACATTGTTGAGCTTCAGCATTTCGGACGAAAGCGCATCGGTTTCAGATAAAATTATTGGGACATTCACCTCATCAATGGACTGCTCCGTCTAGAAATTCTTAAATTGAAATAATCTCATTCCACCTACTGATATCTACGGCACTATTGGTTCAAATTCAAAGAAAACAGCTATAACTTTCGAGAGAAGACTTATGAGCCCTCGTTTATTTAGAGCTTTTCATACTTGTCTCACATCTGTCTGACACTAATGTCTCGAACTCAAAATCAAATTCACATCTAAATAGGATTCTTCGTTAGCATTCAACTAAAATTCTAGTAACATAGGGATAATCCTCTAGAGAAGAGCTAATGCAAGGCATCCTTCGGGAATTTTTCTCATCTCACCGATAACTACCTTATGCAGAGAGGCTCAACTCAAAATCGAATTATCATTTCCAAGGGCAACCTCATTAGATGTAAATACCTTGGAAGATTCGTACGAAACCATTTGTGCGAAACCTTTTCGACATCATTTTTGGAGAGGTTTCGTACAGAACCTTTTGTACGAAACCTTTTTGGCTTTTTCCTGTGAAGGTTTCGTACTGAACCTTGTGTATGAAACCATTTTTCCCATTCATCAAGAAGAAGTCTCGTACGAAACCTTTTTTTTGCGAAACCAAAAAAAGTTCGGACGGTGTGCCGCTCCCCGAACCTTTTTTGGTTTCGTAAAATACCTTTTTTTTTTACAGTCTAGGGTTAAAGATATGGTTAAGAATAGAAATAGGTAGTTAAGGATAAGGTTAAGGATAAGGTTAAGGATAGGGTTAAGGATAAGGTTAAGGATAGGGTTAAGGATAAGGATAAGAATAGAAATAGATAGTTAAGGATAAGGTTTAGGATAGAAATAGGTAGTTAAGGATAAGGTTAAGAATAGGATTAAGAATAAGGTTAAGAATAAAAATAGGTGGTTAAGGACAAGGTTAAGAATAGAAATAGAGGTTAAGGATAGAGTTAAGGATAGATATAAGGGTTAGGGGTAGAAATAATTGGCTAGAGATAGAAATAGATCGTCAGATGTAGAATCAATCAGCGGCACTAGACAAAGGATCTCGAATGAACTGGTTTCTAGCTGGCTAGAACCGTTTTTAAAAGAAAGAAAAAAAGGTTCGAGACAGAACCAAATTATGCTCGAACCTTAAAAGGTTCTGAAAATGGTACCCAAATCTAGAACCTTTTAAGGTTCAGTATGACAACTTTTTTTTACAGAGCAAGTAAATGAGCTCATCTTTTGAGCAACAAAGGATCATAAGTTGGACTACAAGTTCATACCAAAAAAACTATCGATCATTACTCATATATTTGATTAAAAACAGCACATAAATTTAGTAAGATCAATTTTGAGCTATTTTTCTGCTAATATGACAAAACATCTTTGTATGTCAACATTTCAGTGGGGAAATCTTTTCGGCCCGTTCCAGAGATTTATGGAAGAATAGGAATTCTCGTACTCGAGCTATCTGGACAGTTCTTCATGAGAATTTTCAATCAAATTGTAGTATACAATTATATGGTTTTTATGAAACTCTGATAATATCATATTTTGTAGAATGTAGAAGACAATTACTGAAGAATGCGAACACCGTGACTTATCTGAAGTATTTTTGTTATAATTACCAGTCACTTCGATCTGAATATTTCTTCCTCTGACAGAGGCAGCTGATTTGTACTGTTTTCTAAGAACGTCAAACGGTTCGGAAAGATTTCCCCACTGAAATATTGACATACGAAGACGTTTTGTCATATTAGCAGAAAAATAGCTCAAAATTGATCTTACTAAATTTATGTGCTGTTTTTAATCAAATATATGAGTAATGATCGATCTTTTTTTGGTATGAACTTGTAGTTCAACTTATGATCCTTTGTTGCTCAAAAGATGAGCTCATTTGCTTAGGTAATGAAGAGTCTAGAGTCTTGACAAGTTCGTGATAGTAATCGATGCACCATTTCCATATAGTAAAGTGTTTCCTTCTGAAACTTTCAGAAAACAATGGCCACCTATGGGGGAATGTCTCCTATCATTCTTCACTTTTTTCTTTCAAAATTAGTCACACGCGATATAAATAATTTTTTTTGAATTTGATAAATTTTCTCTTTTTCTTTGGAGTTTTACTCCAAGTTCGAACAATTCTCGAACATTTTGGATAAAACAAATCAACACAAAATAGTACATCTTTCGATCTTAACTTCCCGACTTCGTACTTGTTTGTGAAATTATGCAAGATCAGTAACTATTTTCAAATCAAATGCATCTTCGAAGAAAACGAATAATTCCAAAATAAGAAACTGAATCAGATGAAAGTAACACCAAAATTCGTATTGACAACGAATTCGATAGCCACACTAATCTTTCGACTCTTTCTACATCATCACATTCATCTCTTAATAATGTTGAAGAACAAGCAACATTGATAAGTTCTGAAGCTCTTAGATATGCAAATTCGATATCATATCCACCTATTATCATAACTGGTGTTCCAGCTTTTACATCACATTCATCACTAGCTATTGTTCAATTTTTACGTTCACTCGTCAATGCTCATCCAACATTGCCTCGAATTAGTGATACATCATGGCGTTTAAATAATAAAAATCAATTGTTGCTCTGTGCTCCAACTAGAGATGTTTATTCACTATTACTCACGAATAATTATCCATCTACCATCGGTACATCTACCATACAAGTTATTCCACTACGTCGCTTACCAGCCCAACTTTCACCTCTTCTTTTAAATGTTCCAGGTTATCTTGATGATAGTTATTTTTTAGAAGAAATACAAAAACACTTTCGTTCAGTTAAATATCTACACCGTATTCGTACTTTTTCAAACACAAACAATTCTACACTTGTTTGTATCGATTTTGAAAATGCTCAAGAATGTGATCAATGCTTACAAGCACAATATCTATCAGTTGCAAATGTACGTCTTGTTATTAAGCAATATTTAGGTCCTCCTCGCATTCCTCAATGCACAAAATGTTGTTCATTTGTACATTTCGCCAATCATTGCTCAAGTACACACAAGATATGCAACAAATGTGCAACATCTATTTTAATTGATACAAATCATCAGTGCAGTTCTATTCGATGTATTAATTGCTCAAAATTGCCTAATCATCCTTTTGATATAAATCATGATGCTTTCGATCACCATTGTCCATCTATGTTAAATTTCAAAAAAATGCTCGTCACAAAACTTGTCGAACAAGGCATTGTTTCGAATCACATTTATGTTCCAAAAGAATTACAACACCGTTTACGACAGGTTCGTGAACGATTACCACCAGTTACTCCTATTTCATCTCGGCCGATACTTTCAACTGCAGCACGTCATGCTACAGGGAACACAACAAATACCATTGCACCTAAATTAACATCTACAACAGTTATTGTTCCTCAATCATCAAGATCCATATCAAATTTTATTGATTTTATGCAAACTACTGTTAAACCATTTGAAGACCAATTATCGAATCTTGCTAAACAAATGACTAACTTAACTGTTTTATTTATTATACAAGAATATAAAATTGATTACGTAAGTTCTCTTGTCGAAAAAATAATGTTACCATCGTTCAAGTTAATTACTGAAACTCTACCAGCTCTTGTTCATCTTATTCTGGACTCATCAATGCATGTTAATCAAAAGGAAACAATAAGCAATCAATTACAAAAAACTTCAATGTTTTTGAACACCGCCTGTGAACAACATCAAAGTTTTTAAAAGTCTATGGAACAAACTCGAAAATTAATGATTGATAATAACATTATGAACTTATATGCAAATCATCCATTATCTAATCCTTCTACTGCGACCAACACTGTTTCCATATTTTCTTCAACATCATGATCACTACTATGAATATCAACTCCAAGCCTTTTTCGTATTAGCCGTCAATTCTATTACTACCACATGATCAATTATTTATTTTCGATTTTCCATTTGATAATCATTTATTTAGTTCTATGATTACTGAATGAAATGAACGACAAGCATTTACAAATTTATTTAATCAATGATCGTCTGTAATTCTACCAACAGCCTGCTCTAAAACATTGACACTTCTTTTATATAACACACAAGGTATTCATTCTCGTTACTTGGAAGTTCGTTCCTTGCTTGACGACCTTCAGCCTACTATTATTACTCTTATTGAGACTGGTATCGTAGATGAAAACGAATTGCGTAAGTTTACAACTGATTATGTTCATTTTATCACTCATGGTTCGAATGCATGGGAAGGTGTCGTTGTTTTAGTTCACCATAGTGTCAATTGTTCTTTTGTTTTTTCTGCTGACAATTTTTTAGTTATTGATATTTGTTTGTCATCATCGACTCTACGTGTATTATCCGTCTACAGTCCTCCTTCAGAAATTGTTCCTCTCTCTCTTTTCGAAGAATATCGCACCACCAATACAATCATTGTCGGTGACTTCCATGCTCATTCGCCGCGTTGGGATTGCACTCGTACTAATCGTGATGGAAGACTTCTTGAAAGGTTTGCTGATGATGCTGAGTTTTACATTTGTTATCTATATCATGCCACCTCTAAACTCTTCAGTAATAGATTAGATATCGGTTTTGTTTCGGATGGTGAATGGAAATCTTCGGTTTATTTTCAAGGTTCTAGTAACCATTGGCCTGTTTTATTCAAAAGTCCTTGGGCAACAAAAATGAGTGGCTTTTTTCATGATACCCGATGGTCAGTTTATCAACAACTTTTTTCCTTAATTTTTTCATACATTAATTCTCTTGTTTATAATTTCAATAGTATTTATTTTTCGGAATTTTTTACTCAATTACTTTCTGCTGTATACGTACGAATCACCCGATATGTTCCCTATTCTTTTTGATAGACGTTCCTTAACTCCAGCTATTCGACAATAAATTAAAGTTTTTCATAAAATTCGAAATCGTTATTACAAAACTAAAACAATTACTGCAACTCTTTTATATATCGAGAAATGAACTGAATTAAACGAATGTATTCGAGCACATCGACTTCACCAATGGCATTTATTTCTTTCACAACACAATCCTACAGAATTAGCTTTCTGCCGTTTTTCTACAAAGTTTTTTCGGAAAAGTAAGACTCCATTCAAAGGCCTTACTATAGGTACTACGCTCATACGAAATGCCGAGGATATTTTAGCTCTATTACACCAACATTATAAAAATCACTTCTCACATCCTCGGTTCGATAATGACAATTCAGATTTTTCTAAAATTTTAAGAGAATACGACTTTATTTTTAAAACTTTATCCATATCATCTTTTCATTATCTTCGAACAACATTCGATGAGGTCCTGGCGGCCATTTCTATTATGAAACCGAAAACATCTTTAGATTTATACAACAACTCTAACATCATGCTCAAAAGACTTCCCATTGATTTTATTGGTATTTTCACTGTTTTATTTAACTCATTTTTACAAACATTTTCTTTTCCTGATTTATTTAAAAATGCAAAAATGATGTGCCTTTCGAAAACAACATCTTTTCCGACAATCGATAAAATTCGACCTATCTCTTTGTTATGTGTACTCGGTAAATTATATGAGCGAATTATAAATCGTAAACTTAAAACTTGGATGCAAGACTCAGCTATCGTTCCGAACGGACAATCTGGTTTTCAACCTAAATTACGTATTGCTACATGTGTTCTTACACTTACTGAAGCTCATCGTTCTGCTATCTCTTCAAATCGACTTTTACTTACTTTCTATCTCGACTTTAAATCTGCTTTCGACAAAATCTCATATTTTTCTTTATTCGTAAAACTACATCGGCAAGATATGCCACATTCTTTACTAAATTTTTTCTTATCTTGATTGCATACTCGTACAGCACAACTCTCTTTTGGAAGCAAGTTCTCACCAAAATTTAATTTAGAATGTGAACTACCTCAAAAGATCAGCTCTCTCACCTGATCTTTATATTCTTTTCATTCCAGATCTCATTTTAATTTTCAATGAACATGATGTTAATTTTTATGCTGATGATGGTGCAGTAGTTATAGTTTTACCTTTCGGTATGTTCTTTCAAGAATCTCTTAATTGGCTCCTACAGAAAGATCAGCTATAGCTTGCTTCTCTTTCAACCTACTGCAAAACATGGCTTGTTGATTTAAATCCTACAAAAACAGTATACCAGCTTTCGGGATCTCAAATTGGTATTCCTGATTTACCTTTTTCTTTTATGGCGGATATCGTTTATTGCGTGTTAAGAATTTTCGCTATCTTGGATATGAAATTAATACTCGAGCTTCGTATGGATCTTTTCTTAATCATATTTTGTCTAATATTCGTTCTCGAATACCCATGCTCAAAATCTTGTTTAAACATGAAAGACAAATTGCTATTCAATTACGTCGACAAATTTTTTATAGTTTTATTTTTCCTTTTTTTATTTGGGCCTTTCTCGCTTTCTTCTATTTTACAACTTCACAAAAAGAAATCCTTCATAAAGTCTTTTGCTATAATTTAAAACTTTCCTATGGCTTGGTTGATTGATCCGATCACTTCTTTTTTTCTACTACAGGTGAATACACTCTATTGGATCTTTTATATCTTTACTGGAGACATTTTGAGGTGGCTCTTCTGACTGATCCGGATACTTTGAGTTTAGCTCAACAGTGGACCTTTTATCGATCTATCAGAAGCAATATGCATGTTGCTACTCCTAAGGTGGCATGTGTGCGTTTGAATTCACGTCAGATCCGATTGTTTTGTGAACGATATGTTCATGTTTTTGAACTTTGGTTTCGTTTTCGATTATCTTATCGCTCTTTGTTTGCTTTCTACGTTCGCGAGTGGAATTATCTTATATATGAGCTTTTACTATTTTTCATGTATTCTCGTTCTTCTCATAACTCTGTATGGTGTAGTTTTTCTTTTTTCTATCTCTTTACTGGGCAGCAGTGAATCCCAGTATAAATAAAGCATATTAAAAAAAAATATCTCCTAAAAATATCAGATCGATTCATCGAACTATTGCTGAGTTATTGATCTCTCAATGATATTCTATTGTTTTTGCGTATATTCATGTTTTCAGTAAAAATGATCTAGCTCATCAACAATTCGATAGACTTCGATAAAATTTATACTGGAAATAGCTATAATGTAGGGCTACAAAATGAGCCATTGACCGACTCAAAAGCTTTTTCTATTATCGAGTTACAAAATTTACAAGGAAGGTGGACAGCACCTATTATAAGTTCGTTCTAGCATTGAGCAATTTTGGCACTGATAGTACCACTGATCTACATTCTCTATGGACTACCTATAGACCAATTTTTAGACGTTTAACTCTTATAGGAGCCAAGATCCAAGGGGGATGGGCGGATACTTTTGACCACCCGTGTATGTGTATTGTCAATGACGATGTGATATGCCAAGTCTATTAGTCAAGATAAAGCGAAGATGTTGTAGTGAAAAGAAAAAGCAAAAATTTTTAATATTGAATAACAATATATATCTCATCATTTCAATATGCGTGAATAGTTATGATCAACTTCTAGTAACAGTCACGTCAGACATCAGTAATGGAACAGTTATTTTGTAATGAAAACGGTCGGTATCGGTACCTTCTCACTTCTATATCTGACCAAGACGTCTATGTTGGTGGTATTCAATCGATATTGTGAGATAATCGATGGTTGATAGGTGATTAGTTGATGCTCATATTATTCATGATTATTAAATCAAATAAAAGAAAATATTCATAAACAAATAAAAATAATCATAATGATCTTTGATCATCTATGAAATCAAATGTAAATATGATTTTTTTTAAAATTAAATCAAAGAATAATCTTGTTTAACCTTTTGTATTTATATTTCTATAGAATAAAGAAAATAACTATTTGAATTTGAATGAATACAGAATTTCATATCAATAGATATCGCTGCTTTTCAATTCTAATAGAAAAGAAAGAGAATTTTAGTTAATATTTGAAAAACATTTTATTGGTACAGTAGAAATGACCACTGAAAACAAATTATGTCTTATTTAGTTTAGTTAAAATTAGAATTAATATATCTTTATCTTGATCAATACTGATAATTTATTGTTTTTTTTATTCCTACTTGTTTCTTGATTTTAGTGTTCATTATAAATTTTTAGATTTGATTTTATGAATTCTGATTTATTATTGATCTATTGGTAGATTTCAATAAAATAGTCTTTTTGTTTTCTATTAATTGAAAACATAAATAAATAATTCATTATCGATAGATTCAAAGACAAATATTAAAAAACCAAATAATTGTAGAATTCAACCAGTAATTAATCGTTATTTTCATTAATAATTTATTTATTTTTAAAGAAGAATATTCATTTAGATACGTAAAGCAAAGTCTATAGGTGATATTGCTTGACAATTAACATCATTTATTGATAATGCATCATCATCAAGTATTGAAATGAATGATAAAAGTCACCAAAATAGTATGGTATCATCTCAATCAACAGCACATGATGCTGTAAGTATTTTGTTTTCCTTTTTCCTGAAATAATCGGAGGAGAACAAGCAATTTATTTATTTATTTAATTTTTTATTTCAATATGATTTTCTTTTGAAAACAACTGAATTCTCATTGAATTTAATATCAGCAATATCCTTTTGATTTAGAAAAAAAAAAATTATATTTTTGATATAATATTGTTTTAAATAGATAACATCAACTATTGAATTAATTCAAAGTTTTTTTTTCTTTTTTCAAAAAAGAAAACAACAAAATATTAGTGTAACGAAAATATATATATATATATATATATAATTTCGCTATGACAAATGGAGAGGCACATTTAATGTCTTTGATCTCATTGTGAGCATGATGTTTATTCGACTGTGCACTACATCCAAATGTAACACTCTCATACACAACATGAGCTTATATAGGAGAGAAATGGGAGAGAAGAGGGAGAATAGATAATACAATATAAGGGGAGGAAAGGAAAGAGGAAAGATATAACAGAAGATTATGCAATGTAAGAATGAACTAGTGATGAGGCCAAGGAGAGAACAGATAGAGAAGAACAATCGAGTAAGAACACAGATGAGAGCAATACATATAATATACGAGTGAATGTAGAATGGGCAGCGCATTACCAGGGGTCGCAGCGGTCCTGATTTCCTGATTTTTTCCTGACTTTTTAAAATCGTCCTGATACGTCCTGATTTTGGCAAAAAATCCTGATTTTCCTGATTTTTGTTACTTTTCGAAACTTGATCATTCCCTTGAAGATTTCAATTTAGTCTAGGTAGAGGCGTTTCAGAAACTCCATCTTGAATCGATGATGACTTTGGTTTTTCAATGATCGCGTTGTTTGTCATGTTTATAAAGTAGACATTGCTCTTTATGAACTAAAAAATGTCAGTGAATATACGAGAAAAAGTAATCTTTTGACTATAAGATTCCGACAAGATTAGGTGACATCATTAAAGAAGGGAAAAAGAATCAACAAACACAGGTTAGGTCTAGAAGCTAATAATCCGTTGAATCATCAACTCTACTCGTTGAATGACTATGAAAGATTCTCAGTAGATCTTCAGGTTCTGTTGTGTTATGAGTGTCTTTTCGACGAACCAAACTTGAAGATTTGCTGAGATTCGTTGATGGTCATCCAACGAGGAGAGTCAATAGTTCATCGGACAAATTTAAACTGATTTGAAATCACTAATTCGATTGATTTTCTGGCAGATTCAGAAACAACTTCATAATAATATCAAATAGAAATTTGCTAAAATTGAAACAGATGTTAATGATCTAAATCTCAAAATGAAACTCTTTCTGTCTGCTGTCTATTATTTCTTCACATAATTTATGCGTTCTCATCGCTATTCTCCATGTCTAAAAAGTAGAACAAAGTTTTGATGCCGTTTGTATCGTATATAGACACCCTCATTGTCACATATGCAGTTAGTGCTACTCAGACAGACAAGTAACGAAAAAGTCAACGTTTTTACGCGAAAAAGCACAAATTTTAACGCGTTAAAGACAATACGAAAAAAATCAAGTTTAAAAATATAAACTTTCACCAACATGCTTCTTTCCCACAAAAAAAAATTTTTTTACGCGTTAAAATGTTCCCTTTTTACCCATAAAAACGTCGAACTTTTCGTTACTTGTCTGATAAGGTTAGGCATGCAACGGTGAAGATAACTAGCCCTTACTGGTAACCGTTCTACCGACTTATTCCGGCCATATTAGGCTTATACCAGCTTATGCCGGCGGTATTAAGCGAATACTGGCTAGTACCAGTGTGCACGAATAAGAATCAGTTACCGGTATGAATCGGTGAAATCGTGTTTCACCGTCATCATTGCATTCCTAGATTGGGTAGTGTGCGAACGGTACAAATGAACCAGACTGACAGTTGATTAAAATGGTATAGAAGTATTGCTAACATCGCTTAGCAGTAGCTTCGAGACACCTCTGAAGCAGAATCAAACACTAACTTCTAATTTCTTTGCTTTCAGCAGTGATGTTTTTTCAAATGATTTCAGAAATTTTGCAAGGTAATACCACCTTGCATGTTAGTGGTTTTATAGCAAAAACAGGGCTACAGAATGACATTTATAGTTTTAACCAATGAAATACCCGTTTCTGCAGGTTAGAGAAACTTTTCAAATAGTTCGATTCTGCTCGATATCAATTTCGTCGGTTTTACATCGTTCTGTTGAGTCAGTTTCAGCTGTGCATTCATTTAAAAAAGGAAAAATGATCACTGACAGAACGTGAATTGAACAGAGAATGAATTTCATTTGACATTTCGTAATTCCTACTGCGAAACTATGTGGATTTTCGATTAATAGTGCCCATGTTTTTGGAATCCTGATTTATTGGCTCAAATCCTGATTTTTTTCTTGAAAATTCCTGTCCTGATTCCTGATTTTGCATACTAGGCCGCTGCGACCCCTGCATTACGACAGCAAGAGAATAAGGTTCAATCAAGCATACATAAACGTAAGAGTAATGCGATTATGAAAACACGTAACATTGATTGTACAAGAACACACTGAGAAAGTAAAGATATCATATAAGAAAATATGCCTATTGGCACAATTAGAATTTCTAACAGACTAATATTAATCTATTTCATTTGACGCTGGGATATATGATTTATAATTGAATTAATTCTACTTTACAAATTCTTCGTCTTTTTTTCTTATTTTAAATTCTCTCTTGATTAGAGAGCTGCGGGTCTGAAAATTTAGCTTTTACCGGGCCCCGGTCTGGGTCCGGGTCTAAACCTAAGAGGAAAGTCAGACCCGGTCTGCATTAAGTTATGAATGGAAATATATAACAATAACAATTGAAGTTAACAAAATTGAAAAAGAAACAGTCAGAAATAATTTTACACTCATTTGACCTTTAAAGTCTCCAATAAAGAGCTAAAATTGTGTTCCCTTTTTTGTTCATGTACACATAGGGTGTCAAATATTGGTGAAAAGAGGATCGGGTCTGGGTCTAGACTCAGCCGGGTCCGGGTCGGGTCCGGGTCTGAAAATTTAGTTTTTCCGGGGCCCGGGTCCGGGTCCAAAAAAACATGGACCCGCAGCTCTCTACTCTTGATAGATTAGATAAGAAATTTTATGAAATTGTTTTGTCAAAATAGAGAAGACTAAAGTCATAAAATTAATTACCGCATTCACCATTCTAGAGTTTCTATTTCCTCTACTCGCTTCTATGTTAATTTTAATGAGAAATCGAATGATTGTAGAGTGTATCAGAATCGTTAAAAAAAATGATGAAAAGATGATTGGTTCATATTGAGTAAAGAGGTCGAGTTAACTTTCTCATGTCTACAATAGACAATGAATCAATAAATAATCAATTATGATAAATGAGAAATTTTCATGAATAAATTACAAAGCATAAAAAAATAAAACTATTACGACGTCCTTCGGTGAGAAAGACGTATTTTATTCTTTTCGACAGAGAGAAACAAAAAATATCTTCATATGTATATTCTATACATCTTTTCTTTTTCTCTACTTAACAGATAGAAAAATATTTGAGCTAAATCATAAATTATTTGTTTCAGATAAAAAAATTAAATTGAAATTAAAACATGTGCAAGTCAAACAAAAAATTGCACGTAAGTGTTCATAAATACAATGTTTCAAAAGATCTTTAATGTATCCTTGATTAAAAACATAGATGCTATTTTATTGAAAAGATCTTTTTTTTTTTTAATGAGAATCAATTCTTAATGATTGATTTTGTTTTTTTTCCCGTAGGAAAGTTGGTCATCAACATCACCATCTCGAGCACCAGCACCATTTGTTGTCGACTTATCATCGATCAATACTGTCAATCCTTTAGCAAATATGCTTGAAAAACGAGAACAAATAGAACGTGAACAAGAACGACTTCAACATGAAGAAGAAGAAGTTAAACAAGAAATTGAAAAATATTTGTCGAGTAGAATATTTTCAAGATATTTAGTAAATGAAAATATGTTGAACTATTTGATTTCAGATGTTTCCAACGATTGTTTCATCTATATTTCAATCAATCGTATAATGTGTGAAGAAAGAGTTCATATTAAAGTACATCAAAGATTTTATTGATCTGACAATATTTTTAATTGTCATTTAATCCTTTCTTTTTTATCTAGTTATTCAATAAATTAGCTCCAATGACATGTGGTAAGAAGAAAGTTTTATTTTATTCAATTTATTTCTATAATTTTTGAATTTTCAAAATCAATAAATAAGAAAAAGATTTTGATTTCATTTATTTGTTTATTTTCATAGATATATTTCGAGCCATCTGTAGCAATCGATTTGGATTTAGCTATGAAAATAGTCAAGTGAACTATTTATTGCCCAACAAGTTTATCAAAGTTAGATACATTATTTAAAATCAACAATAAGAAAAGATCAATAAATTATAATTTATTCTTAATTCATTTTTGTTTCCCAGGTGGTCAAATCGATGTTTCCAGTCCTGAAGGTAACAGGTAAACAAATGATATCATTTTAATTTCATTGAATGATTGTGTTTTGTTTTTTTCTCTAATTTTCAGATTACCAGATATAGCTGGTTCAAAAGAAAAATCTACAATAATTCATGATCGAAAAGGATTGATTAGTATGGATATAACAAAAAGTATAAATGAATTTATTATTATATTAGGTAACGATGTATGATGATTTGATCAGAATATATCTTTATATTTCTATCATTTCTAGGTCCTGCTCCAATGTTGAATGATAACTATGTAAGTTATAACATGTCATTTTATATAAATGATTTATTTGATTTCTATATTCATTAGGTTGTATTCGGTGAAGTTATCCGTGGAATGGCTATTTTTGATTCTATTAATGCTTGTGGTAGATTCAATCGGTTTGATATCACATATAATTCTAATCATTCATTTGTTCTTCATTTTTTTAGGTGTTCGTAATTAAGCTGATACAGTTAATGGTGGTGGTCAACCTTTTGATGCTATTTCAATTTATTCATGTAGTTAGAAGTAAATCAATTTATGCAATTTCAACACATAGATTGTTCTTCTCAGAACTGAAAGAATTTTTTTTTTGTTTTTTTTCTAAAAAGAGAAAAAAAACTACAATTTCTCATGTGCTCAAAGAGTTTTTCTCTTGTATTTCATCAATAGAGTCATGTTGTTTTTCTTATTGTTTATATTCTTCACAAAAGAAGAATATTCGAAGAGTATAATTATTATTTTTGTTGTTTTTGTTTACAAATCATAATTAACAAATTCTTCTCACAATGGAGGTGCTTGTACTGTAAATTGAAAAACTCAAATATACTAGTGTGAAAAAAAGACTAGAGATAGCACTTTAACTTTAAACTTTAAATATTAAAATGGTTGAAGTTAAAGTAAACATTTCACTATAAAACAAAATTTTTATTAAAAATTCATAAAAGTGAATAAACATTTATGAAAGTACCTATAATTCTTCATGCACTGTAAAAATGGGATTATTCATAGGTAATCATCTATTATATAACGGGGGTTATCATTGGGTCATCAACTATTGTATATTGGGAATACCCTTAGATGATCAACTACTATATAATGGAGGTATCCTCGGATAATCAACTACTATATATTGGGAGTACTCTTGGGTCATCAACTACTATGTAATGGAGGTACCCTTGTATCATCATCGATATATATATATATATAATGTTCAGTATCTGTCTGTCTGTGATGGGTCAACGGTTAAAGGTGAAAGATCAAATTAGGCTACAAGAGGAGGGTCCAACGGCTATTATATGTGGGTATCCATAGGTCCTCAAGGGCGATCCTATAGGGTGCCAATAGATTCCCTCAAGGGCATTGTATGGGGGTACATATAGGTCGTCAAGCGATATTATATAGAAGTACGCTTAGGCCCTCAACGGTCGTCCTATAAGGGTACCAATTAGGGCTGTACAACTCACGCTCATGCTCATATGAGCGCTCATGAGCGTGAGCTTTTTTTTTTATTTAAATAAAGCACGAGTGTCTCTGATCACTTTTTTCAACTTTATTCCTCGAAAATCGACATTGACGATTTTTGTACCTGGGGTTTCTCTCAGGTATCATGAAAAAAAGAATTCTTTTTTTTTTCACATGTCAATATCAGATATAGTGGTAGATTGAGAGATGCTGGTTAAAAATATCACAATAAGAGTTCTCGAAAGGAGGGGGGGGGCGTTAAACGGACCAATCGGCCCCATCATGAAAGAGCTTCTTTCCTATTCCAAATCGTCACATTCTACCTTCCAGACTCAAAAAACATTTGAATCCAATCTATCGGGCTTAGTTTGTCAAAACAGAGGGTTAGAAATTCCTTCCCGTTCACTGTACAGAATTTTAGCCATTTCTGCTCGTTTCTGCCGCCTGTGACAAATGTAGACATTTGGATCCAGTTTCGAGTCAAGCTAAACGGGTACAACTTTTTGAGCTCTATAATTCTAACTTAGGAATGCCTAATGAAAAAAGCAAGGGGGAAACAGCGGACTTCAAGACTTCAAGACTTCAAAAGACTTCAAAAGACTTCAACAGACTTCAACTGCAGTGACTTCATATTTTCACAAGACTTCAAAAGAGTTCTAAAGAGTTCTGAAGACTTCATAGGACACCAAATGACTTCACAAGACTTTATAAGACTTCGTATGACTTCATGAGACTTCATGAGACTTCATGGGACTTCAAAAGACTTCGTTAGACTTCACGGACTTCGTGAGACTTCACGGACTTCATGAGACTTCATTAGAATTCAAGAGACTTCAAGAGACTTCATGAGACTTCATTAGACTTCATGAGACTTCATGAGACTTCGTGAGACTTCATTAGACTTCATGAGACTTCATAAGACTTTATGAGACTTCAGAAGATTTTATGAGACTTCAGAAACTTCAAGAGACTTTATGAGAATTCATAAGAATTCATAAGACTTCAAAGAGACTTCAGAAGGCTTCGAAAGACTTTCAAGATTTCATGGGACTTCACGACTGAAGTCTCTGCTGTTTCCCCCTTGACTAGCTGTAGACATTTGGGTCCACTTTCGAGTCAAGCGAAAATGATACAACTTTTTGAGCTCTACAATTCTAGCTTAGGAATGTCTTGTGAGAAAAGTAGGTATCAGGGTCATATTGGACAAAAACTGCCCGAAAAGTGTGATTTTCAACATTCTACCTTGTTTCTGGCCTCTGTGCCGAATGTGGACATTTGGATCCACTTTTGAGTCAAGCGAAACTGATACAACTTTTTGAGCTCTATAATTCTAGCCTATGAATTTCTAGAAAAAAAAGGGCGTCAGAGTCATATTGGGCTAAAACTGGCGGAAGGCGATTAGCTTTTCATTATTTTAAGTTGTTTCGGCCCATAGTGCTAAATGTAGACGTTTGGATTCAGTTTGGAATCAAACCAAAACGGTACAACCTTTTGAGCTCTGCAATTGTGGTATAGGAATACCTAGGAAATGTTTGTGCGTGATTTTCATTTTTGTCTGTATGCACGCTTAGATGGCTATATACTCCGCTACGAAGTGTTTAACCCATTTTGGCGGGCGCATGACACTAGTTGCTGTCTCCGCATATGTTCAATAGCATCAAGAATCAGTCGGAAGTACGAAAATGCAAGAATATTATGAGGTGCGAGCCAATTCGAACGCTCCGCTATTGCGCCTGTATTCGTTAAGCTTGAAAATATCGTAGCATCGAAGAAAGGAGGTATCGAATGACTTGTTCCATTCAAATAATGTGACTTTTTTTCGAAAATCAGAATATCAAAGCAACCTCAAGTATCACCCTTGTACTCTCAGCTCCTACCATAACGTCGTACTGACACAGAGTCTCAACCCAAGCTGTAAAGGAGATTGTTTATTGGATTACTTCCGTGTACTCAACGACTTGTGTTGACTCCGATCCATTCCCGAGGAAGGAAAATCAGGGTTCCGCTGACTTGCACAGTCCGGGTGGACAGGCGAATTAACATGAGTCAGTGAAAGTCATTCCAGTTAGAAATCCACTTTTTTTGGCACTACTGCCAATAACTTCAAGTCATACCGGAATGTCTTCCATGGATGTCCAATGACTTCGGGTGACTCGAATTGATTATCGATAACTACTGACAACTTCTGATAATTGCCATGAGTTACGAGACTGGTGCATACAGGAAGGCCCTGCTTACCTGCCTTGTGATCAACCTCAGCTTCACGTTTAGATGTACCCCGACCTTTAGCCATTTATGCCAGCTCGCTATGTTTACTCGATTTTTGCTAGTCGTACAACTAATTGGTGTCTGTGTACCTGTGATAGTAATAGAAACGGCATACTTTTTTCGAAAAGTGCGAAAATTTTGATTCAAAAGTCAATGGAAGACCGATTGCTCCTACAGTATAGTCTTTTCCAATTGCAGCACTTCCAGAAGATTCGATAACAATCGAATTGGACCATGTATCATATCGAGCATCATGCATCATTGAAAAAGCGCAAACCGTTCTATGATGTGCGATACTGCAAAGCTAAGTATACACGTGAAGCCACAAACCACGTGCAAAATTTTCCCTACCCATTCTTATGTCACATTTGCAGAGCTGAGAAACCTTTATTGTTTTAGCTTCACTCGAAACTGGACTCAAATGTCTACATTGGGCACAAAGGCCAGAAACAAGGTAAAATACTGAAAAATCACAATTTTCAGCCAGTGTTTGTCCAATATGACCCTGATACCCGCTTTTTTCACTAGCCATTCATAAGCTAGAATTGTAGAGCTCAAAAAGTTGTACCGTTTTTGCTTGCCTCGAAAGTGGGCCCAAATGTGTATATGTGTCACGGAGACCCGAAGCGAACTAAAATGGTGAAAAATCAGTTTTTAGCCAGTTTTTGTCCAATATGACCCTGATACCCACTTTTCCACTAGAGATTCCTAAGCTAGAATTATAGAGCTCAAAAATTTGTATCGGTTTAGCTTGACTCGAAAGTGGACCGAAATGTCTACGTTTGGCACAGAGGCCTGAAAGAAGGGAAAATGGTGGAAAATCACAGTTTTCTGGCAGTTTTTGCCTAATATGACCCTAATTCCCGCTTTTTTCATTAGGCATTCCTAAGTTAGAATTATAGAGCTCAAAAAGTTGTATCGGTTTAGCTTGACTCAAAAGTGGATCCAAATGTCTACATTTGTCACAGGCGGCAGAAACGAGCAGAAATGGCTAAAAATCTGTACAGTGAACGGGGAGGAATTTCTAACCCTGTGTTTTGACTAACTAAGCCCGATAGATTGGATTCGAACGTTTTTTGAGTTTGGGAAGTAGAATGTGACGATTTGGAATAGGAAAGAAGCTCTTTCATGATGGGGCCGATTTGTACGCTTAACGCCCGTCTTTCTTTTTTTTTGTTTGTTTGAAAGCTTGTGTTTAGGGCTAACCTCTCTCGTAGTCGTTTTTACTTTTTAGGCGAAGAAAAGGGATGAAAAGTTTAATGACTCAAAAAATTCCTTAAGAAATGACGATGTTTTCTTGTATGATAATAGAAAAGCTTATTTTAAAAAAGTGCTACGAGAGGGACTAGCTCTAAACATTACCTTTCAAACAAAAAAAAGAAGTTATTGTTTACAATGAAGTTTCTTCAAGAATTCTTGGAGATGCAATCGAAAATCTATAAAACAAAAAAGATTTTTGGTTTTTTTCAAAAACAGCTTGTCTTTCGAATAGGGAATGACGGAAATCTTCAAAAAATTTCTGGAAAAAAACGAAGTGTCGAGTAAAAATTTTTGTCATTTATGAAAGATCAAATCACGCGTTATCTTTTCCTGCATTTATCTTAATTTCGGTGATTTTGATTGAAAAGTGGCTTAACTATAGGTTATCAATTATTAAACGTTGTTGGCAAGATCAATTACAATTAAAAAGTAAATAGATTATATGAAATTATTAATATATTAGATTTTGTTATCTATTTATTTCGGAGACAATTTCCTACAACATAAAACTAATCTATCAATAGTTATATAAAG